TGAAATTTTAGTGTTGACAGGGAATGGCATCCTTTCTCAGTCCTCACATTTCCATGCTTTCTCCATATTATGGGTGGCCTTGACGCTATAAAAGTTTGCCAATCAGCTGGATCCTCGTTAACGCAGAACAGGGTATGGTCTCTTCCTACTCTGAATGGTGCAATGTTTCCTCAGGCTGTGAAACTGGTTTAAGGTATATCAGTTCACTAGAAAACTCTCACGTGGGCGTGTATGTCTCAGAACCTTTCCAGACAACTTGATGTTTGAACCAAGCAGAATAGACGGACACTTATTGATCTATGGTTTCAAGCCAATGATATTCGAGTGCCGATTATTTCATTGGATCTTCACGTGATGATTGTTTTGAGATTTCTGTCTGCAAATCTTCCCTTTCCAACATCCTGCAAAAGCAGTCATTAAAGTCATCACCGATACATTAGCAATTAGGTCACAATTTCAGAACGGTCGTCTCTTCTTGTCCTGCACAGACTCTGTTCCCTCACTTCCTTTCCTTTCAGTTACTGCAAGTAAATAATTTTACACTAGAATTAAAAAAAAATAAATTTGGAGAAATTGTTTGCTCACAGATGTCGGACAGAGGAGGAAGCTTCAGAATGAGTGAAGCTCAATCTTCATTCAGAGAGAGAGTCAGCAACTGCAGTAGCTTAGCTTGGCAAGAAATGAGCAGCTTCATAAACCCATTGCTGCACGTCCGCACTCAGACAATAGGAGAGCTCCAATTGGCTGGAGGTCCAGCATGTTTCCAGTCTTCCCCTCTTCCCGTTGGTTACATTACCAAATTATGACGGAATGGGGCGGAACAAGGATCACGTGTGGATGCAGCGTCAATGACCTATAAACATTCAGGCAATACAATAAGAGGGTGCGGTGAACACAAGCCAATCATATAGCAGAGACTGTTCCCGCCCCAGACACATCCCGGCACACGAGCATATCCCGGTTTCCCCCAGTGCGGAATATGCCACGTGACCCGCGGCGACAGGGATTGTGGGGTTTGGAGTACCCATGAAGTCACTGGGGCGCTGTCTGGAAAGTGGATGAAAAGTGTGGGGCGGAGGGTGGTGGGCACACGATGCCCATTCAGACACACAGGGATATGTGGACCATCACTGGAGTTCACTGAGACACCCCACCCTCCTTCCCCATGGCCCAACAGCTTTCTGACATGAGGTATAAAAACTAAGAGACATGGGTAACAGCTTTTGGGGAAGAATTGTAATAGGTTTAATGTGACAGGGAACACCAGAAGTACCTCCAGAGGAGGAGATTTGGACTAAAGTCAAGGTGATAGTCAGATGAATTGTGTTCCAAACTAAGGTAAAGAATTTTGGGCAGATCGAGATTTCTATCTTTTGACTGAGAAGTACATTCACACCATCCAGAATAATGTATTCTGAATGCCTATCCTGTAATTACAATACCTTTTCTAAGACCATATTCTTCTTCTTGACCAATCACCGTGGATCGTTGATGATTTTCTTCCATTTTAGTGTTGTGGGTCCTGAGTTTGTTATATAGTTCAATACTGAGTCCACAAGCATTTCCACACGTGGGGCAGGTGATATTTGCCGAGAGGAGTGTGTGTGATGCTCGGATTCTCACATGCTTCTTCTACTGTTAATGTTTATTCTTGGTCAAGAAGAAGAATATGGTCTTACAAAAGGTATTGTAATTACAGGATAGACATTCAGAATACATTATTCTGGATGGCGTGAATATACTTCTGTCAAAAGGTAGAAATCTCTATGTACCCCATACTCCTTTTGTTTGTTCTTCATCTGGCCCTGTTGTCCTGGTCCAGGCTGACCAGATATCCTAAATTAATCTCGTCCTATTTGCCAGCATCTGGCCCATATCCCTCTGAACACTTCCTATTCATGTACCCATCCAGATGCCTTTTAAATATTTTAATTGTTCCCACCTCCAGCACTTGCTTTGCCAGCTCATTCCATTAAGGTTCCACCCTCTGCATGAAAAAGTTGACCCTTAGGTCCTATTTATTTCTTTCCTCTCTCACCTTAAACCCATGCCCTCTAGTTTTGGTCTCCCCTATCCTGGGAAAAAGACCTTGGCTATTCACCCTTGCATGATTTCATAAACCTTTAGAAATTCACCCCTCAGCCTCTGCCATTCCAGGGAAAATAGCCTCAGCCTATTCAGCCTCTCCCTATAGCTCAAACCCTCCAACCCCAGCAACATGCTTGTAAATCGCTTCAGAACACTGAAATTTTCAACACTTTCCTATAGCAGGGAGACCAGTATTAAACGTAGTATTCAAAATTTTGTCCAACCAATGTCCTGTACAGCTGCAACATGGCATCCCAACTCCTCTACTCAATGCAATGACCAATAAAGGCAAGTGTACCAAATGCCTTCTTTACTACCCTGTCTACCTGTGACTCCACCTTCAAGGAACTATGAACCCGCATCAAAGGTCTCTTTGCTTAGCAGCACTCCCCAGGAACTTGCCATTAAATGTATAAGTCCTGCCATGATTTGCCTCATCAAAATGCAACACCTCACATTTATCTATATTAAACTACATCTCCTCGGCCTATCAGCCTATCTGATCAAGGTCCCATTGTACACTGAGATAACCTTCTTTACTGTCCACTATACAGCCAATTTTGGTGTTATCTGCAAACATTCCTTCTACATTCATATCCAAATCATTTATATATTTGACAAAAATCAGTGGATCCAGCATTGATCCTTGCGGCACACCACGGGTCACAGGCCTCCGGTCTAAACAGCATCCCTCCGCCACCACCCTGTCTCCTCCCTTCAAGTCAATTGTGTATCAAATGGCTAGCTCTCCCGGGATCCCACTTGATCTTGTCGAACTGAAGTCCCTGTTGACAACGTCCATAGCTGTACCTTCATCAATCTTCTTGGTCACTTCTTCAAAAAGCTCAATCAAGTTTGTGAGACATGATTTCCTATACACAAAGCCATTAATCAGTCCTTGCCTTCCAAAAACACACAGTTGCTGACCCTCAGAATCCCCTCCAACAACTCATCCACCACTGGTGTCAGGCTCACCGGTCTATAGTTCCCTGACTTTTCCTTACCACCTTTCTTAAATAATGGCACAATATTAGCCACTCTCCAGCCTTCCAGTACCTCATCCATGGTTATTGATGATACAAATATCTCAGCAAGGAACCCAGCAATCATTTCCCAGTGATTTGTCCACCTGTTTGCTTTTAAGACATTCAGCACCTACTTCTCTGTAAATATGAACACTTTTCAAGACATCACTGCTTATTTCTCCAATTTATCTAGCTTCCATATCCTTCTCCTCAGTAAATACTGACGCAAAGTGCTCATTTAGTATCTCACGCGGGTCCTATGGTTCCACACATAGACGGCGTTGTTAACATTTAGGAGCCCCAATTCTCTCCCTAGTTACTATTTTCCATTAATGTATTTGTAGAATCTCTTTGGATTCTGCTAGTTGCTGAAGGTATATTTTTCTCATTTTTGCCCTCTTGAGTATACTCCTCCTGGACTTATACTTCTTGATGAATTCACTCGATCCCAGTGGTCTTTACCTACCATATACCTCCTCCTTTTTCATGATCTGAGCCTCAATTTCCCCGGTCTTGCAAAATTCCTCACAATTACCAGCTTTGCCCTTCACACTACTAGGAACATATTGCCTCTGGACTCTCGTTATCTCATTTTTGAAGAACTCCCACTTTCCAACTGCCCCTTTACTTGCCAATAGCCTCTCCCAATCAGCTTTTGAAACTTCTTGCCCGATAACATCAAAAATTGGCCTTACTCCAATTTAGAACTTTAATTTTTAGATCAGGTTTATCCTTTTCCATATCTGTTTTAAACCTAATAGAATTATAATCACTGGCCTTACAGTATTCCCCAACTGACACCTCAGTCACTTGCCCTGCCTTATTTCCCAAGAGAAGGTCAAGTTTTGCACCTTCTCTAGTAGGTTCATCCACATACTGAATAAGAAATTTTTCTTGTACACACTTAACAAATTCCTCTCCATCCAATCCTTTAACACTATGGCAGTCCCAGTCTATGTTTGGCAAGTTAAAATCCCCAACCATTACAACCCTCTCATTCCTACATATATCTGAGATATCCTTACATACTTGATTCTCAATTTCCCACTGACAATTGCAGGGGCCTATAGTACAGTTCCAATAAGATGACAGTCCTTTTCTTATTTCTCAGTTCCACCCAAATAACTTCCCTGAATGTAGCCCCAGGAATATCCTCCCTAAGTACAGCTGTAATGTTGTCCCTAACAAAAAACACCACTCCCCCTCCTCCCTTGCCCCCTCTTTCTATCCTTCCTATAGCATCTATACTCTGGAACATTAAGCTGCCAGTCCCACTCTTCCCTGAGCAACATTTCCATAATTGCTATGATATACCAGTCCCATGTTCCCAACCATGCCCTGATTTAATCTGCCTTACCTGTCAGGCCTCTTGCGTTGAAATAAATGCAGTTGAATTTATTCATCTTACCTCATTCTCTGCCTTGCTGTTGCCTGCCTTGACTGTTTGACTTGCTCCTATTCCCAACTATACCAGCCTCAGACTGATCTCTTTTCTCACTATTTCTTTTCGCTGTCCCCCAACCCCTTACTAGTTTAAAGCCTCCGTTTATTTCAAGGTTAAATGCTGTGACCATTGACATCCCTGAGACCTTTCTCTATTCTATTGAAAATACTTCATTTACGTTTCTGCAGACACTTTTACTGCCCATTTCTAGTGTCCTCGTGTGGATATATCAGTATTTTTATTTGAATTGGCTCTTCGGCTGAATTTTTATTTTTCATTGTTAGGATGAGGGTGTCTCTGACTAGGCCAGCATTTATTGCCCATCCCTAATAAGTCTGTGGATCTGGAGTCACATGTCGGCAGACCATGTAAGGATGACAGTTAAGGACATTAGTGAACCAAATGGGTTTTTCTGACAAACAACAATGGACCCATGGTCATTGTTAGACTTTTAATTCCAGATATTTATTGAATTTAAATTCCACCATCTGCCATGGCAGGATTCAAACGTGCATCCTCACAACATTAACTGGTCAATGGATTAACAGTCCAGTGATAATACCAAAAAGGCATTGCCTCACTATGATATATGGATTATAAATAGGCAAACAGTTGTTTACTCACAGAGATAACCCCTGAACTGTGGCACACCATCACAGGTTGTGGAAACACTATATACCTCATTATATCAATTCCAATCTATCATCCACATGATTCAATCGTAATTTGAAAAATAACATTCATTTACCAGAGCACAATCTAAATTCATTCTTAAATGAATGGGATATACACACAATCACTAACAAAACAGTGGGTTAATACAACAAACGTCTTGAAGAAAAGTCACTTTTTTTTCTAATAATGAGTGCTGAGCCAGTATATCCCAGGATTACAATCTCACTTCCATTTTAGACAAAACTGGAGTAACTTCCCTCCAAACATTAATCCACCAGGATCTCTTCTGTCTCTATTTTCCCCCAGTCAAGTTTACTGCTTTGGGCCATCTTTCTCTGGAGAAAGACCAGCCATTTTCACCAACACAGCTGGTTTACTTTTTAATCTCTGATAATTTCCCTTTAAATGTTCATCAGCACTTTTGATTCACTTCCATCTTCTGCACTATCTTTCTCAGCACCTCAGTGAGAATCTGTTCTTTCACTTCTGCCGCCTTTTCCACAATACCTTGATTCTTGTTCACCCTCTAATGATTCCACTTTCCAGCTCCTGTGTGAGCTTGAAACTAATAGTTTGCTGCCATCGAGATGTCTGTGAGAATGGAAGAAGGGGCACTAGACCCGAAATGTTAACTCTGCATTGTCTCCACTGATGCGGTTTCTCCAGCAATTTGTTTTGTTTTCTGATTTCCAGCATCCAAAGTTCTTGGTTTGTTGTTAAGTATTCAACAGGCTACTTCCTGCCACAAAGCTCAATGCCTCTCACTGAGGTCACCTCTCAGGCTTTCTTTCCCTCGAGCCAAGCTAGGCAAAATTGCCCTAATTTATTTTCCCTCAAAAATCTCCAACAAGTAAGCTATAGACTACTAAAGAGCAAATCTGCAAAAGCCTTCTGTGAGAAACCCAAAAGAACCTGGTAAGTCCCACAACCCATCTCTCTGGTAACATGATGTGCTGTGTGTGGTTCCAAACAGAAATGCAAATTAAATGCTCCGTACCTTCAAAGCAGTCACTGAATCATTTATCCATGTGATCACACATAAAAGTAAATTTTGGAAAAAATACTCAAGGAGAATCAGCCCATTAGAATAAAATTTGTGAAACCCTCTGACCCTTCCATTTCACTCACAGTCAGACTGAACATGGTTCAGTCCTGGACGTGATTAACACAGAATCCAGCCCCCATCATCACTTGTGAACTTGCTGGAGTCTCAGCAGGCTGGATGACTGAGTGAATCCCTTCCCACACTCTGGGAGGAGAATGGCATCTCCTCAGTGTGACAGTGTTGATGTGTTTCCAATGCAGATGGGGTACAGAAATCCTTCCCAAAGTCCCCATATTTCCATGGTTTCATCATGGTGCAGCTGTCCTTATATCCTTCCAGGATGGTTAATCAGTTCAAGCCTCATCAACAAATAGAACACATGTACAGTCTCTCCCCGCTGTTAATGGTGTGAAGTTTGTTGTGGCTGTTTAGCTGGTAAAAGCCCTTTCCACAGAACCCCCACTGGAACACTGTCACTCCAGTGCATAGGTCATGTTGCTTTTCTGGTCAAAACGATATTGAAAAACTTGTGAAGCAGTCAGAACTGTCCAACATTTCTCCTTCTAGATTCACAGACCAATGAATTTCGGGTTCCAAAGAATCAAGTGGCTGTGCAAAACAAAATCATAAAAGTCATAATCACTGTCAGTCCAGGATAGGGAGTCAGAAAACACAATTCTAGATTCAATCAAACATTCTTTCTCTCTTGTTGCCCTAAGATTGCTCAAGTTGCAACACATTGTCTCCATTCTCACTCTGCTATGCACTCTCTAAATTCTCTAAAAGGTGATGATTCATGCTGAGTGACAGACCCATGTTTCCTGCAAATATATAGATATTTGATGGACTAAAATGCATAATGTACAGAGCGGTAATGAATGATGGATACATGAACAATGTGAAAAATAAGTTTATTTGAACAGCAGTGACTATGACCTGGACCACTGCCTTTTTATATTTATTCACTCAAAGGATGTGGGCATCATTGCTAGGCCAGTATTTATTGCTTATCTCTACCTGCTCCTGACAAGGTGGCTGTGAGCTCCTTACGGTCAAAACAAAAACAATCAGTGATTTGAAATCAAAATCTGATGGTCACCTAATGGATGTAAATGCGCAGGGCTACAAGCATGCAGAGGAACAAATGACCTGACTGGATTATTTTGCAGTGTTGGTGTGGACACAAGATAGGAATGGTGTCCTCTGTCATAATGACTTTCAGATTTTAAATGTATTATGTAGCTACACTATTGTGTTACAAGATGAGAAACAATGATAATGACACTTTGTTGAAAGATCTATAAAACATGTTGCATATCTATTATATAATAACAAGAAATATCTATAATTTATGGTCCCCTTAAGTATCAGCTTTTTCCTGAGTAAATCATTTTTTTAATTGTGATAATTAAGGAGGCCATCCTTTTAGCCAGACAAGAAAATGTGTCAAACTGAGAGAGCAAAAGATGTAAGTGTCTGTAAGAAAGACAGGAATAGGAACCAAGCTTTCCAAAATCTGAAGGTTCCTGGATTCACTTCCCTTCCCTTTGCTGCTGCAAGTGACCAGTTTCCCACTTCCCTCCTCAGATGGTGCAAAGTGGAGGTAGTTTCAAATGAACAAATGAAAAAGTACAGCACAGGAACAGGCCCTTTGGCCCTCCAAGCCTGTGCCGACCATCGTGCCCTAATTAACTTAAAAACAAACCTGCCATTTTTCGATCCATATCCCTCTATTCTCACCCTACTCATGTACCCATCTTGGTCCCCCTTAAATGTCTTCAGTGTGCCTGCTTCCACCGCCTCTTCTCGTAGTGCATTCCAGGCTACTACCACTCTCTGCGTGAAAAACTTCGGTCACACATCTCCCTTAAACTTTCCCCCTCTGACCTTGAACCTGTGGCCCCTTATCATTGAAACTTCAACCCTGGGAAAAATCCAGCCGATCTATGCCTCTCATAATTTTGTAGACCTCTACAAGGTCTCCTCTCAGCCGCCATCTTTCCAGTGGAAACAATCCTAGTCTTTTTAACCTTTCCTCATAGTCAATGTCCTGGAGACCAGGCAACACCCTGGTGAACCTTCTCTGCACTCACTCCAAAGCTTCCACATCCTTCTGGCAGTGTGGTGACGAAAACTGCACACAATAATCCAAATGCAGGCTAACAAGGGTTTTATATAACTGCAACATGTTTTGTCAACTCTTGTACTCCACGCCCTGCGATGAAGGCAAGCATGCCATATGCCTACTTAATCACCTTGGCTACCTGGGTTGCCACTTGTAGGGAAATGTGGACCTGCACACCCAGATCCCTCTGAATGTTTCAGTGATAGCAGGAACTGCAGATGCTGGAGAATCTGAGATAACAAGGTGCAGAGCTGGATGAACACAGCAGGCCAAGCAGCATCAGAGGAGCAGGAAGGCTGATGTTTCAGGCCTACACGCTTCTTCAGAAATGAGGGAGGGGAAGGGGGTTCTGAAATAAATACGGAGAGAGGGGGAGGCAGATAGAAGATGGATAGAGGAGAAGATAGGTGGAGAGGAAAGAGACAGGTCAAAGAGGCGGGGATGGAGCAGTAGAGGTGAGTGTAGGTGGGGAGGTAGGGAGGGGATAGGTCAGTCCAGGGAGGACGGACAGGTCAAGCGGGCGGGATGAGGTTAGTAGGTAGGAGATGGGGGT